ATTCTCCGAAGCCGATGGATTTTAACTTGGAAAGAAGTTGATCCCACAGCTGATCAACCCCAACAATCCCAGAAAATGAAACCGAAGGCTAGACTAGTTGTGCTTGGTTTTGAAGATCCTGAAGTATCAGAAATTCCCCGTGATAGTCCGACAATGAATAAACTGACCCGGATGCTTCTCCTTCAGTACTGTGCCAGCCGAAAATGGGATATCCAAAGCTTCGATGTACAGACTGCATTTTTACGAGGCAGCGAGCAGAGCAATCGCGTTTTAGGCATGGAACCACCAGAAGAGATGCGACAGAAACTCAAGCTCCGTCAAGATGAAGTGGTGCAACTTCTCAAAGGTGCCTATGGGCGTGTTGACGCACCATATCTCTGGTTTGTTGAACTGAAGAAGACCCTAGAGGAGCTGGGATTCCAAGCATCACCGTTTGATCCGTGCCTGTTCCATCTGAGTGACCCCAAAACCCAGGAGACACAAGGTCTGATTGGTGTTCATGTTGATGATGGGTTGTGTTGTGGGAATGAAACTTTTCAGAACAAGCTCAAACAACTGGAAGCCAAGTTTCCTTTTGGATCCCGTAAGATGCACAAATTTGTGTTCACTGGTTTACATGTCACGCAAGAAGCTGATTACACTATCACAGTGAAACAGTCACAGTATGTTCGGGATATTCATGCAATTTCCATCTCTCATGATCGAAGGTGTCAACCAGACAGTGTCGTCACAGAAGAGGAACGACAAGCGTTGCGAGCTCTGATAGGGAGCCTACAGTATGCAGCTGTAAACACGAGACCTGACATATGCAGCCGACTGGGTTGGCTTCAAAGCCAAATCAACAAAGCAAAAGTGTCCACATTGGTTGAAGCAAATCGAACCCTCCATGAAGCAAAACAACATTCCAATGTGACCCTTCGAATACAATCCATACCAGTTCCTGATTTGCGGTTTGTTGCTTTTTCCGATGCCTCCTTTGCGTCAGAGAAATGCCCTGACTCACATCAGGGAATGATGATCATGTCTGCTCACAAGTGCATTGGTGAAAATAGACGCAGTCCAATCAATCCAATGGTATGGCATTCTAAGAAAATCCAGAAGGTAGCAGTCAGCACGTTGTCAGCCGAAGCAATGGCTCTGGCAGGAGCAGTGGATATGCTTTCTTGGGTGCGCCTTTTCTGGGCATGGATATGTGATCATCGCTGTGATTGGAGACAAGCTGATAGCACTCTCCTCCGACTTCCACCAGCATTTTCAGCGTTGACACCAGAACTGCCTGAGAAACAGCCGATGCCTGAAGTTGCCAAAAGAATCCTCAATGATATTCCCAAGGAACGTTCTGATTTCATTACCACTGATTGTAAATCACTCTTTGACTTAATCAACCGTAATGCTCCCCCAACTTGCACTGAATTTCGTACTCAACTTCAAGCCAAGCTGATTCGAGAACATATCCAAAATGGCATTCAGATCCGATGGGTTCCATCAGCCGCTCAAGTAGCTGATGCGTTGACAAAAGTCATGGACAATACCATGCTTAGGACATGCTTACAGCAAGGTCACTACAGTTTGCATGACGAGCATGAAATACTCAAGGCTAGATCAGATGCAAGAACCAGAATCAAATGGCTTCAAGCTCTCAATCCCGAAAGTTCAGAGCATCGGTAGTTTGTGGAAAAGCCAAGCCGTCCATGCGCTATCCGATTGAAGTTCTGAAAACCCAATTAGATCTTTCGATGATGCAAGCATGGTCTCTGCCTCACAGGAGACAACTACCAGTGATGAGGTTGACATTGTCTTCAATGCGTAATCAACTGGGTATTTTTCCAACATCATGTCCGTGATTGTCTTCACCATCCTGATCACCGAAGTCGTATCTGGAATGTGCACATGATGAACAAAATTTTGATAGTACGAATGTGAAAGCCAGGCCAGTTCACATGTGCTTGAGGTCATTCCCTCATGGAACCAGGGGTTTCTTCCAGAAACCAGTTGTTGCCGCAGCCTCTGGGCTGGAGGGAGGGATTAGCTTGAGCAATAGCGCTATCAGTGACGCTTAGCGGATACAGCTGTGGCCAGCTGTGGGTGCGTTGGACTGATTGCAGGTCGTGGCTTCGCATTGGGCAAAACAGGAGTTTGCATTGCTGGACAGGGTTCCAACTGGGATTAGGATTGGAAGTGAACAAGCTACCAGTGTCAATCTGACAGACTTGACATATCCCAGTCGATTTTTACTCACTGCTATAGATCTCACTATATCTCATTATATCCCAATTGTTGCTGTTTTGACATATCCCAGTGAGTTTTTACTCACCGCATTGTATGTCATTATCCCAATTGTTGATGATTAAGTCAACATGTATCTCCATTTATTTGATGGGTTTTTCATTGTTTTCCAAAAATTACTTTACTTCGTGTGATCCCCACCATGACATTTATACATTTTCTTACTGGCAAATCTTCTGGCATTCTATCTGACATATCTTCTGACATTCTATTTGACATTCTATCTGGCATATCTTCTGGCATATGATCTGGCATATCTTCTGGCATATCTTCTGGCATTCTATCTGGCAAATCTTCTGGCATTCTATCTGGCATATCTTCTGGCACTCTATCTGACATATCTTCTGGCATTCTATCTGGCATATCTTCTGGCATATATTCTGACATATCTTCTGGCATTCTATCTGACATATCTTCTGGCATATATTCTGACATATCTTCTGGCATATCTTCTGGCATATCTTCTGGCATATCTTCTGGCATATGATCTGGCTGGCATCTATCTGGCAAATCTTCTGGGCATTCTATCTGCATATCTTATCTTCTGGCATTCTATCTGGCATTCTATCTGGCATTCTATTTGGCATTCTATCTGGCATTCTTCTGGCATATCTTCTCTGCATTCTTTCTAACTTTCTTCTGCACATTCTTGTCGATATCTCCTATTAGGTCCGCAGGGAACACTTGGCGTGGATACTCGCGGTTGAGATGGTTCGTGGTTGAGGTCCGGCAGGGAACACTGGGCGTGGATGGTCGTGGTTGAGGTCCGGCAGGAACACTGGGCGTGGATGGTCGTGGTTGAGGTCCGGCAGAGAACACTGTGGATCGCGGGTCGCAGTTGAGCAAGGACGACGAGGACGACGAGGACGACGAGGAGGACGAGGAGGAGGAGGAGGACGAGGAGGACGAGGAGGAGGAGAGGAGGAGGAGGAGAAGGAGGAGGAGGAGAAGGAGGAGGAGGAGGAAGCAACTGACATAAAATCTAACAACCCTCACCTGGCAGGTGGGGAACAAGGTCATAGTAGAAGAAATATTGGAAATCCGGAGGGATGAAGAACACCATCACAATTTTCGCTCTCCTGTGATTGAACAGCTGCGTGGCCATCTTGGCCCGATCTTCTCATCACGGACATCCACGGGGAGACGAGTCTCCGCTGCATCGACGGCGCGGACATCCACGGGGAGACGAGTCTCCGCTGCATCGACGGCGCCAGGCTCCGTATCCTTCGTCTGCGAGCCAGGCTCGGCTCGAAGACGTTTTGAGCATATCTCCCTGCCTGGAAGCCGAACATAGATGTGGAAAATCCACTTGCATTTCATTTTCCAAACGGGCTTTCCCAGCCAATTTCCACATCTTAATGTTACTTTACAATGGGTACCCACTATGGAAATAGATGTATCATGGCCCATGTGGTTCGATGATTTAGCTTCTGTCCTTTCAGATTTTTCGCGAAGGGGCCTCACCGTCCAATCCCCTCCCAATAGATCGTAGTATTAAATACGATTCTACAAACATGGTTTGGTACTGGATCTATTAAATTCATTTTTGGGCCCATATGGCCATATAGGTGGTAGCAAGACCAGGGGTAAGGGATTGTATTATTTACCTATTGGTGGCTCAATGGTGGGGTTGACTCCTGCATTGATCAAGAAACCACTGGAAAAAAGGGAGCAACAGCCAAGATGACTTCGAGTGAACATTTTGAAAAAAAACATTGGAAAAACCATCCAGGTTTGGATTGTTTTTCAACAACACATGAATATGGATACTTAAAGAGTCTAAGTATCATGAATGGCTAGTGTGCGCCATTGTTGAATACTAATCATTGGCTGGTAGTTCTTCAATGTGACGATGACTTCGAGGTTTCATACTCATCGTTGCCATTCATCAATACTAATCATTATCTTCTAATGGTAAATATGTAAATATGAATCTTAGTGAATATTTCATACAAGGTGGGTCCCCCAAACAATAGCAAAAAAAAGTATCTACACAACTCCACTACCTGTTCTCACTGTATCGCAAATATACCTATAGTGACTAGTGAGTATTGTCATCCTCGATGCCTACAGTGGGTTTTATAAAGCCACCAAAACACCGGAGCCCACCTGGTACAGGGTTCTGGTTCTCCGCTATAAGTTGGTTGATAAGTTTACACGCCCCATTAACATATACCATCTGGATATTTAACATAGCCATGGAAAATCACAATTTTTAATAGGTAAACCCAGGTAAACCATCTATGAATGGGCCATTTTCCATGGCTATGTTAAATAACCAGAGGGTGTATATATATATATACATATTGTATACACAAGTATCTACCATAAATCTTGCTCATTGGTGTTCAAAACCCACTTAAGCAACTATGGAACACCACCCTGGGGTATAAAGGCTTTGCATTGGAACCCCCTTTAAAACATGAATTTTACTAAACCGATAAACTAGACCCCTTGCAATTTACTATCACTGTGACATACCTTTTTTATCCCTTTGGTTATGGGTTATATCAGTTGTATCCCATTCATAGTCCATTCCTATTTCATTAACATAAGCTCCCTTCTGGTAATCACCATTAATATAGTCCATATATAGTCCATCAATATTCCATTAATATTTCATTCATATGGTTCCATTTGGGGTGAATTTTAGAACTTACGACTTCCTCCATCATCTCCACTTGATCTCCACACAGAGGAAGCGGCTTCCGCGCCTTCCAGACGGCTGTGTGGGGGGAAGCGAGATCCTGATGGGATGAAGGCCGGTGACTGGCTGGCGGCTGTTTAGGGTTTATGATATATATATATATATATATGTATATATATAATATGTATATATATATATTATATGTATATATATATATGTATATAACGGTTTGTCAAAAGGTCTTTTCCTGGTTTTGTTGATAAATCATAATTCTTTGCGTCCCGCTTCTTATTGTGCCTTTAAAACCATGACTGATCTAAATAGTCTGAAACCCTGCATTTTATCTTTCATGTTTGAAGCCGTTGCTAAAACCTGCAGTAAATGATAACGCGCATCTATATGAAGTGGGTGCCGCTGCTAGTTATTAGTGGTGGAGCTGGAATATCTGCAGAGCTGGATTTGCTTAATGACCCCCTAAACAAATGAAACGTATTCCCAATATATTCCCCAAGCAATGTATTACCGATTGTTCTAAAACCATTTAAATCAATCTTCAACAAATCCAAGATTATAGTTGGCTTTCTTATATGAAGACCTTATTTTTTTACGGGATTCTCGGATTCTCCTATATTTTCCAATGCTTTTCCATCAAAGTAAGCCATTCCCCCCATTGAATCCACCGGTCAGTGGCCGAGACTCAGAAATTCCAAGACCTCTGTCGCTTCCGGTTCAACCACCTTTGCCAGCTGGCGCAGCTCTGGGCGAATCTTGGGCTGTTCGAGTGAACCTCAGGCGCTTGAAGAAAGCGCGACAGACGACTGCCCGAGTCGCTTAAAAAGCTTCGCGAAGGTACCAATGTTGTATGAAGAATGACAAAAATATGAATATATGGGAGGAACCCCTGAAATGGGGGTACCCCTAATTCATCCATTTTGATCGGATTATCCATTATACACTATCAATTTTGGGGTACCCCCATTTATGGGAACCTCCGTATCTTCTATAAACTGTCTATATTTGTGTTGTAACAATACACTATATATAATATAATATGTGTTTCTTTTTTTAAATATACATATATCATATACTGTATGTTGTTGTCTGTGTGTCTTCCTGGCGGGTAAACATACATCTAGACAACGTATATTTACATTAAATAATGCTTGTGTATATATGTTGCATATACATATGTTCGTATAAATGTATTCATATACATATATATATATATATACATAAGTTATTTGACGCAACTCATTCGATATACATACATATTG